AAAAGTAGGCACATCACATACATACATACAGCGTATTCACATGCAACTGCATATGCGTGCATGTTATTTGGTTCACGTCTTAATCCATCTTCGAGCTGATTAATCGGCCTTTTTTATATCAAAGCCAATTATATAGAATTTTCGTCAAGCTCTCTAGCATTTATTTAATTCACGGGCTATTTTAATTTTTGCAAGTATTGCTTCATCTTTGATTGCGAAAAAAATGTTTTTTATACATGAGGAAAATTTAGTTAATAAGAATAGAGGGTTGCCGTACGTTGACAGAAGAGAGAGAGCACAGGCCGGCAACGGCAAGCCCGAGCTTGCTTTTGTTGGCACTGTGCACTCTTTCTTCTGTCACCGACCCTTGTTCCTTCTCGTTTTTCCCTATACATGTCTTCCTCCTTTGAGTTTTTCGAAACAATTACACTTTACCACATTTTATAACCTTTTTTTTTTTTCTAAGTTTTTACTCATTCACCAGATATTTCTTTGATCTTGCAGACATGATTCAAGGACAAGAAGAAAGAGCACAAACCAGAGACGACGCATCAAGTTTTACTGATTCATTTGATACATTTTTTTTTTTTTTTTTTACCGATATGTTATAATCTGAAATTGTAATTGCGTGACAGGTCCCTTTTCAATTTTCCCTGTATGTTATTTACTGGAATATTGTTACTTTTCCCTTTCGCATCCATTTACACTCCGCAAGTCGCAATCAAAAAGTATTGAACAATAAATAAGGTCGCTTACCTTTGCACCAACTAACAAAACTCATCTCAGGTTAAAACTGAACCATTTCTCGATTTATGCGTGTCATCCTTGCGCAGAGGCCATGTTATTTTTCTCTGTATCGTTCTAATTTTATCGGATGTCCCCGAAGGGACCATCTCAGATTAAAACTGAACACCACTAAATTTCGTGTTTATGAATTACTACTCACACAATTTCACTTATAACCCTTCTCAGGAAGACTGGTAAAAACTAAAAATCACGAAAATATATTTTTACCGCTCGGAATCCTCAGATTATTATTGTAGTAATAATTTTACCATTTGATCCGTTTTTAATAACAGAATCTGTATAGTGCTTAGTAAGAGAGCACAAGAACAGAAAAGTGCAGCGAGCATTATTGAGCAATTATTTTTATATCTGATACCTTCTGCAACAGTTTGTCAAGTTTTAACGTACTTTCCTCTTATCAGTTCAAAAAGAACATTACTTCCCAGCTGCAAATGGAAAATTACGAAACAGGCCTTGCATCGAAAAACCTGAAACAGACACGAGCAAGTATCACCTTTTTGCAAGAAAAAATCGCAAATTATCCTTTAGCTAGCTTCATTTATCGTAACTTGTATGCGAAATCAAGTTTGTCTAGTTTTTTTTTTTTTTTAAGATTACTATTTTTTATTATTTATGCATAAAAATTTATAGGAATATGAACACACTTCAAACAAATGAAGCTAATAATCCAACAAACAACGCTTTTGTGGAACTAACAGCAGAAGAAAAATAGAGATGCAATCACGGTAAAAATGTGAAAATTACCTTTTCCGAGAAGGAGGTGTAGCCAATAATCGATCACCAAAATCCATGATGGTGATTGTAACATACGACGAATTCAATTCATGCACCAACCTGTTTCTGCTGAAGCTTGCGAGGAAGCAGAACTGGAAAAAAGGAAATCGTGCAATTTATCACTGGTGTAAAGAAAAAAGCAAGTTATCTTGCAAAAGTTATTTTTTGTACAAAATTTACCTTCGTCCATAGCGCAAAAGCTTTCAGCGGGAAAGATAGTGTCGGGATCCTTCTGTTGCTGCAAGGGTAAAAGCAGAGCAACAGCGCTTTTACTGCAGAAAGAACAAAAATACCCACCCAAAATTAGGTTTTATAAAGAAAATAAATTGAGGGCTGAAAAAACTTAAGACTCATTTTTTTTTTTATGTTAACAAGAGCAAAAGACTGAACGTTTGACAAAAGAACCAACAAACAGAAAAAAAGACAAGATTTTTTTCTATTGACTGGGAGATTGCGAAAATGAACTACAGGAGAAGTAATTTTCCCTAACCGAAGTTAATATTAGAACAATGATAACTGATGTTTTCCTCATCTAAGGAGGCTTTATCTTTAATCAGTAACACGGTATATAGTAAGTACGATAATTCATAATACTATCCCCACTTAGATCCATGAGATCAGCCCTTTATTTTAGATCTGATTGGAGAAATGGATTTGGCCAGCGACTATAAACAATCCACGATTACTGCCCATGACATGCCCCTCCTCTATCAGAACATGAATCACTCATACAACAACAGATTTCCTGCCCCAAAATTGCTTTTCTCGTATCACTCAGGACAGTTGCAATAACGCCCTCTTACGTTTAAGTTTTTTCGTTTTATACCACTAATAACCAACTACAAAGTATATATATTCTACACTGGTGGATGCAACAACAATTATCACTGAGCTCATGTTTCAAGGCAGGACGAATGGTAGGGAGGACATGAAAAACTGAATCAAAAAATCCGGAGGGAGTCCCTGTGCATATGGAACAAATTCAGCTCTCTGTATATTTCAAGGGCATAACACAGTGTATGAGCAAGCATATGAAAACACTTCCTTGTTTGCAATTTTTATGAAGTATAGGAGCAAGCAAGAGAATATGGTTTTCGTTATCATTCTAAGAGATTTAGGTAAACAAATATCATTATATTTAATATTCATTGTAATATCAAGTTATCTCAATTTGCATTACCCCTTCAGCGTATTACAAACAACCAAGAGCTGAACCAATAACTGCTTAACAAATGCAATTAGTAGATTAACAACAAATTATCTGGTTGTTATACGTATTTTGAAATATCCTTTTTTCGGATTTGTTTCTTTTTGAACTTGAGGATACTTTTCAAAATCAACTCTAAAGTTTATAAATTCACTAGTATACTGTACACATCTCAGGAAAATTTCTTGTGCTACTATATGTACCCTTTAGTATGATGGGTCCAATTCATAATTTTTTCCTTGAATTAATTAAGGTTCAAAGTGTGTGATACATTCATCAAATTAACTTCGCTTCCAGATTCCTACATTATCAAACAGCAAAGCAAATCTATTCTTTTGTTAGCTTAACACGTCCCTTGGCATTCGTATAATATCTCTTCATTGTAAGTAAACAAGCATAGCTGTTTCATGCCTCACCATATGATTTTTTTTAGAACAAACGATAGCATCTTTTCAGTAGGAAAGTGACTATTACCTGGCCCATGATGGAATAGATTTCTTGGTGGGTAACTCATCATATTCTTCATCTTCATCATCAGAGCACTGATATGGAGAGATATCATATGATTTTCCTTCACCATTATGAAGGATAAATACCGCATTTTTGGGTGATTTATCCACTGCATGCATAACCTAGAAATATATAGAGCAACAAATTTAAGGGTGCAAAATAAAACTACTATGTGAAGCTTACAGCTGGTAAAGTAAAATATTACATATTTGTATATCGATGCCGGATTGCTGATTTAGATCTCTAATAACACATGGAAACAATACTTATAACTGTTATTATATCACATCACTAAAAATGGAACATGCTACAGAAAAATCAAATAAAATCTTAATTCTGAAATCAAAAAGTTTCTTACATTTCCAACTCCACATTCGTCGTAAGTTGTCACGACTTCGGAGGTAGTTGATTTAGCGTCTGCCTTTCTCAAAGCTACGTCATCTCCTCTAGCAATTTCTCTATTCTGTTGCTTCTTGGATTCATGAAGAGATTCCTTCTTGCCATTCATTTTCTCATCCTATAATATCCGAGAATACGTGGAACTACATTAACGGCCAGGAAAAAATGAAAACAAAAAAATATATATTTATATTCCTAAACTTGTCATAAACAAGATATAAAACCTTGGACGACCGATTGTCCTTTTCAGCTTTGCCTGCGGTCATCTTTTCTTGTCCCCTTTGCTGATATCTAGCTTCATGTCGCATTCTTTTCTTCTCCTTCTCCTTTTTCTCTTCTTCCTCTCTCTGCCTTTTCTTTGCAATTATAACAGCATCTTTTTTCTTGCGTCCCTCCTCTTTCTTTTTTTTCTCCAGTTCCAAATGTCTAATATTCTTTTCCTCCAGCATTGCTCGTTTAAGTTTCAAAGCCTCCTTCCTCCTCTTGCGTTCTTTTTCCTTCCTCTCTTCTAAACGTTTAGCCGCCTTTGCAGCCTCCAGGGCCTTCACCTTGACATCTTTTTCTCCTACTAGATTAGAGAGTGAGAGATCATATAATTTGGAGGTGAAAAGTATTTTTTATTCAAATATTTTTTTCTGATGCTCATCTGGTAAAGTTTGTTGAAATACACACTCAACAGATATAAAACACTATTATTTTTTAAATATTGTAAGCTTTGATACCAAATCATAACAGAAATATCAGGAAGGTTTCCACAATTAAATTCTTTTATCATAGACATTTAAGACAGGGGATGCAATTAGTCTATGATCAGTTCCTACGTACTCACTAAGAAAGTAGGACTCACTGGATCCCCTCTCCCTGTCCCTCTCCCTCTGTCTCCCTCTCCTACGTACTCACTAAGAAAGTATGACTCATTGGAATGCCGCATGCACACACTAAAATATTTACATGGGTGTATAAAGAATAACTGAAAGATTAAAAGACCCATCTTTCTGATTAAACAAAATGAGCACTCTACGACAGTTTTCTAAAAAATAGAAAACTGACAACTTTACCCATTATAATGAAGAAACAGAAAATCACAAAGAACTACGACTTCTGTACAATCATGTTACCTCTGTGCTAAGAATCTTCACATAAATGCATAAATCGGAGAAAACCCAGGCATCAACTAAAGTAGAATATCTTCTTTGCCAGGTTGAAAGATGATAAAAAGTAACAACAAGGTAAAGAAAACATTCGGGATAGTACGAAAAAAATGATCATGTCACAAAATTTTACAGCATATAAAACCTAAGCAAAATAGAAAGAGAAATGCATTCATAGATGTGATCTCCAAGAAGAAGTAAGAAACATATATATTAGGAAATCTATTCAGGGTGAAACACACGAACACTCAAACAAAGGCACTTACCTAATGTTTTTGGCTGCCGCCAATAACAGTGTTCATTTAGAACTAAGGCAATCTTTTCACTAAAGCACATTTAAAAATTCAACATTATTTATCAGTACCATAAGAAAGAAGAGTTACCATCACATTCTTTCGCTGCTTGTTTTTGTTGGACCAGTGGGATAAAGGAACTAACATTTGAAATAATATTATTTCTCTTGGGTTCTCTCAATGAAAGCTTTTCGTTTTGTCTTTTCAAATTGGATTTAGTTGACACCAATGATTTTCTGATACTGTCACTAAATGGTCCTTTGGACTTCTTTATTTTTTCAGTACACTGTAGTGAAGGCTGTTTTTTCATATCATCATTGGCACCAATAGATGAAGTCCGTTTTTCACTGGTATCACTCCTGTTTAGTTGTTGATTTTTTCGACCAGACTGAGCCTTGTCTTGTGTCCCAGTGACCCACAACTTAGTTCCCAGAGAATCCATTCTATCTGCCACCAGAGCTTTCTCGTGTGCAGAAACTGACATTGGAGGATTCAAACCAAGATTGGTAAGGTCTTTAAGTGGTTGTCTATAATCTCGGAACTCGTCCAATGATGAATCAACTTCTTGAACACCAAATGCAGTCTCATCCATAGTCTTATTCTCTTCGCTAATACTGAAGTCTTCCTCAATCGGGAAGCATGTTAGTTCTGGATTTGGACTTGAACGCTTCTCTGAACTCCCGGTATGTGATGAAAGTCGTTCCCAGAGTTTACCAACTGGAGATGCCTGTTGGCCTCGTAAACTCCGACCATAACGTGTGTCACAGTAAGGTACACAATCAGAATATGGCATCACTTCAAGGGCTTCCATCCAATCACTTATGCAATGCTTCCTTGACTGACGCTTTTCGCGAGCATCAGAAGACAAACTACTAGCAAGATCTAAGTTCTCATGACGTTCGGGCTGATATAAATTTTGGTTTCCCTGAAATTCAAGAGCAAACGAGAGATGGGACGAGGGTTTATCCAAGCTTGAAGATCTACAAATGTCAGCTAGAATGCTAGCTCGTTCTATAGTATTACTTGGAAGCTTCAGCGTGTCAAAGTCAATCCTGTCCGGTACAAGATCCAGTCCACCACTATCTGCTTGTTCATCTACGATAAACCCTTCGAGTACAGGCATAGATTGATCGACATCAATGAGCTCCAGATCTACAGTTCTTGGAGAGAGAACAGAAGCTTGTGCCTGTTCACTACTTCCCCCCTTAAGAGATTCTATATCTTCAAGCATTGTATCGGTGAGACTTGGGTTCCCCAAACCTAAATCATCACTATTCTTCTCTAGATTACAAAAATGCTGGCTAAGTTGTTCTTCTCTGATCTCTGTTGCATCAAGATGGTTATTGCTTGAATTTATATGACTTGTATCCTCTGGAAAACATCCTTGAGAATTTATAGATTCCTTCCTCACACTTGAGACAAGGGGTGCCCCTAACAGCTCGTTATTGATAAGGGAAGATGAATTATTCTGTTCCCTCTCCTCCTTGTCACATAATCCAGCCTGCATTTAGGAGGGAAGAATGCTCAAAGCAGTTACATTTAAAGCTGTTGCCCGGCAAAAAAAAAAAAAAAAATGACACTTCTGTTAGCCATGACAGGCGAAAGGGTGAATGAAATATAATCTTTCCATTATCTGTCCTCAAATCTGAATCAACCTCATAAAGTTACAAATTAATAGCAAAAGTTCGCAAACAAGCAGAATCAGCTCCATATGTTGTAACACCCATTAGTCATTCCTTATTGATTTTTCATATATATGTTGTAAATGAAGAGACAACTACCCAAGTTGGAGTCACCATTTGGAGTTCTTAACATACATCTTCACGGTTAAGCAACATTCGTCACAGGACCAGGTTACAGTTATTTGACCATCACTATCACAATATGGAAATAGATAAAATCCGAATTAAGATTAATTAATCTATTTTCCCTTAAAAACATCATTGATATTTGAAGGTACCTACCTTAATTATTTTTCTTATTTTCTTTTCCTAAAACCATAAATGACGAATGCTATATCTTAAAAAAGAACCATACATGCCGGGTCATCAGAAGAGAGGTCAAACCTGAGAACACCACTAAAGAATTAAGGGCCTGATTGGATACAAACTTATCTAGTTATGACTGATCGGATAATTTTTTAACTCAAAATCTGATTCAAAATTTAACACAGCCCAACTCCTCAAATTATCCATATAATTAAATAATATCAATCAATCATTGTCACACATCACATCCACTATTCACCCACAAATAACTTTAACTACGCATTACTTCCAATCACCTCTCTCAAACTTTTACATCACATCAACTTTAATCATTACATTTTAAATATTATTTATATACAAACTCAAAATCCCACTCAAACCAAGACTCAATCAACTTCTTCCAAAATCAACTCATTTTATCCGATAAATTCAATCAATTCCATTAAAGCTAATCAGGCCCTAAATGGTTCATGAATAGTCACCAGATAAGCGTACAAGCAAGGGTATGTTAAATAAACACAAATATATAACCTGTTGTCCTGTTCTGATTCAAGTTTGTCAAGCAGAACATGGGAAAATGTAAAAACTAGACCAAAAAATGACACAATCCATTCGAAGAAGAAAAAACATATGTTGTATATCTGCAGTAAAGTGTAAGTAATATCTACCAAGCACGCAAAATAAAAAATGAGTTTAGCCAAACAAAAAAGAATAAAAAAAAAATGAAAAGAATATACCTCTCCATTGTGAGATGAAAATGCAGATTCAATTCCTTCCGCCAAATTAGAAACCATCTCAGGTGGGATTTCAGTGTCGGTATGTCTATCTGCATGAAAAGTGTCCGTGCCAGTGTCTAGGTACGTATCAATGTTCAGGAAATATGTGCTGCCACTTTGAGTGCATTGGGGCTTTCTCAACTTAAATGTGGAAGTGGTTAAATTATGAGTTTCTTTATGTTCAAGCTTTCTCCTCTTTAGTTGTGGCCATGTTTCCACGCTGACATGTCTAAATCTTCTCTCAGGCGACGAATTTTCACCACAAGGTGAGAATGTTCCATATGTTACAAAGACGTTATTTCTTAAAGGTGAATCTCTATCTCGGCCACAAAGTCCACCTTCAAGGCATGATGAAATTTTGGATTTCTGTGCAGGAAATTGTTTTGTTGTTTCAAGAACACTACAAATTTGATTTAGGGTGACTGCATTATCAATCATGAAATCACAGGACTCTGCCCTTGGCTCTTCAGCTGAGATATAAGCATGGGAAACCCTAATATTTTGACCTTCTGGAGTACTTGACACCAATTGACTTTTCTTATCCCTCGATGGCCTGAGATTTCCATTTCCTGGAGCACTTACCAATTGATTCTTATTGTCTGAAACCTTCAAATCTTCCTTTCCTATAACACTCGAAACCAGTTGACTCTTGGCCTTTCTCTGACCGGTCCAATCCTCCTGTTTGACAGGTAGAACATAGGCCATGCTTTTAATCCATAACAGTGAAATATGCTTAACAATAATCGGGTAGTCTAACCCGAGTTATGAACTGGTTTCTAGGGGTTAAGAGGATAAAAAAAATCACTTCTTACAAAGTTTATAATCTCGAACAACATGTCCGAGAAACAGTTTAATCAGCAGTCCATCTCTCCACGCATTTCAATCTTATAGTAAACTGTAAACTCATTGATATCTACGTCATGTCCTCTCTTGCTTTTCTATCAGTGATTTTATTAACAGTGTTACAGATTACAATCACACAAATCAGACATAGATGAAAATAAAGTATCTATAAAAACAAAGGTTTTAGTGCACCAATAAAATACTATCACTATGGTGTCTCTTCTTTCTTAGTTCTTACAAGGAGCTAGCCACTTTGAACATGCCAGCTTTCCAAAACCAAAGTAGTCCTCATGGGAGCCGGCCTAGGTGAAATACATATTTTTACTTAATTATTGCACCTATAACCTACGCAAAAATGTTCGTAATAAATTTGGTAAGTCCAAGATAATTAACTTCTGCTAAACCTTTTCAATCTTGGACCTAATAAAGTGAGGCATATAAGGCAAGAATAGAAGAAAAATTTGTAGCTAAGATGTCGAAGTCACAACAATCCATCCCGAATATTTAACAAACCACGTACCTCCTTTGCATCAATAACTCCTTGTGCTGATTTATCACTTAATGGAACAAGAATGCCACCACCAGCCTTGGCAGATTGAGAACGGATTGCTGGATCAGAAGCCTCAATATCAAAGGCATTTTGTTGGTCAGAACTATAAGATGGAACAGCACCTCTTGCTCCGTGACTCTGGGAATCTCCTGCAATTGATTCTCGGGTGTCACAGCCTTTAGCAAGGGCATTAGAATGATTACGCAGTGATCCATTAACAGCCCGTGAAGGTGAATTATCCCCAGAATCCATCATTACCATGTCTATTATGTGATAATCGTCAGAAGAAGTATCAGCTTTCGAAAAATCAGTACCATGACTCTGACATTTGCTAGAAACACAAGACCTAGAAAGTCTAGCAGTAGAAATATTTGGGCCTTCATCATTAATGAGACAATCTGCACCCTCCACTTTCTTGTCTCCACAGCTTTGATGACAGACAGTAAATGGACGAGCAGACTTTGGCTCCTCATCAACATAATCATGAGCGTCCCCAGAATCAGAAAGATGCATGGACTTCGTTTTTCTTACTTCAGAAATAAGACGGAGGCCATCTTCTAAATTCTCAGATGAGCAGCCTTCATTAAGAACTTTAGAAGGGTTAAAGAATAAACCATTAACAGACTGTGGGGGTGAATTATCCCCAGAAACCATCATTACAGAGTCTATTCCTTGAAAATCATCAGAAGAAATTTCCGCTTCTGAAGAATCAGAACAACTGTGACATTTTCTAGAAACGGAAGACCTAGAAAGTCTGGCAGTATATATATTGGTGCCTTCACCATTGGTGGGACAATCTGCACCATCAACTTTCTTGTCTCCACAGCTTTGACGGTAGACAGTAGATAGCCCAGCTGACTTTGGGTCCTTATTAACACAATCATGAGCCTCGCCAGAATCAGAAAGATGCATAGACTGCATTTTCCTTGATCTAGAAATAAGAGGGGCATCGTCTTTGAAAATTTCAGACGAGCAGCCTTCATTAAGAACATTAGAAGGAGTAAACGGTGATCCATACACAGCTTGTGGGGGTGAAACATTTCCGGAATCCATCCTTACAATTGCTATTCTATGATAATTATCAGAAGGTATATCAACTTTTGAAGATTCGCGGCCATGGCTTTGACATTTGTGAGAAATACTAGATCTAGAAGTGCTACCAGCAGAAGCATTGGCGATCTTGTCATTGTTTATACAACCTACACCGTCCACTTTCTTGTCTTCACAGCTTTGATAATAGACAAAAGATGGACCAGCTGAATTTGCCACCTTATAAACCTGATCAGCCACCTTCCCAGAATCAGAAATGTGCATAGACTGTGTTCTCCTTACTATAGAAATATGACGGAAAGTGTCGTTTTTGGAAATCTCAGATGAGCAGCCTAGAGAACTTTGAACAAAATCTGGAACTTTTGGGTTGCTTCTTGACCTGGTAATTCTACCAGAATACTCATTCTTTTCCTGTACTTTGCTTCGGACATCAGCATTATCCAAATATAAGTCAGCACGATTCTGATTACCTGTGACCCAGTGTTCGGAAAAATTGGAAGTTGCATCATTTTGGAACGCCTTATTCTTTGAAGGAAGAGAAAACTTACTCTTCCCAGAAAGAGCATTCCTGATATTCTCATTGCTTTTGCCACTTTTATCGAAGGCCTTTGCACTATTTCGAAGCTCAAGAGCTTTTTGTCTCGACTTAGATCTTTGGATTCCAGCTAGTGAATGATCTGGCGCATTATAGATATTTACAATCCTCTCAGCTATCTGATCCATTGGTGAGGTAAAGCTAACGTCTAGTTCAGGAACACCATCAAGGGCACATCCAGCTTGTTCCTCACTACTCATTGGAGGTGTTGTTGAATGGTCTGGCTTATTGAAACCTTTACCGCAATCTAGATTTTCCATGAAAACTCCTGTAGAAATATCTTCATGATCTCCTGTGACAACTAGGGTCTCATACAAAGGATGGTGTGGAACGGAGCACTTGGCTGGAGGTCGTGGATATGGCCGTAGAAGTTTAGAGATTAACTCTTCTTTGTTTAGCTCTGCAAAGACACAGAAGCAGTAGAAGATTAGACATATTAGGAAAGAAATTATACTGGTATTATCCCATGTCGTAGAGAGAGAGAGAGAGAGAGAGAGAGAGAGAGAGAGAGAGAGAGGGGATTTCACCAATTAACTTGAATATAGATTTTATGCATTGCAATAGATGAAACAAAACATAGACTAATTCAGGTTAATCTAATAAAACTCAATTCTGAGTAATAAATCCAACAAAGCCCTAATTCCATAGCTTATGAAAAAAATACCAGTTGAATCCGGGGAGGCGCTGGGGCTCCAAAGCCAAGAGGGAGGTCTAATTCCATCAATGATGAGCTTGGAAGCGAGATGCTGGCTGTACAAATCCGTCTGTTGCTTCACCTGCTCGATTATCGATTTCTTCCTCTCGAAGATCTGGACCAACAGCTTCTCCACCGCCGTCATCTTCCTCCTCCGGCCGTAGGGTCACAGATAGTGCATCGACCAACGCCGCAAAACCTTACTCCAATGGCGGTTCGTACAAGTGTGTGAGATGGGGAAGATTCAGAGTGTGGGTGGTGTGTGTGCGCGTGTGTGAGGGAGAGATTGGAAGACCGTTAAGACTTCATATGACGTCTCGCGCGGAAGGAATTCAAATTGCTTTTGGGAAAAAAACATTTTAGTACGCCAATTTAGACATGGCCAAATCCAGGGCCCGGCCCGGCACGGCGGGTTGATGGGTTGGGTTTGGCCAACCCTAAACTGGCACGGCTTAGGTCCGTGCCGGGTCCATGACCCGGCGGGCTGGGTCCAGGCCTGGTCGGCGAGCCAGTTGACCCGTGGCCATGTATAGGTCAAATATATTTATTTATCATTTTAAACTAGTATTCGACCTGTGCATTTGCACAAATAAGTATTGTGGGTTATTTGTATGCATATAATGATTAATTATTTTTTCTTTCACCTTTTTGCTGGCCAAATTTACAATTAAAGGAGTTGGAATATCTATTTTTTTAAATTGCGTTTATCTGATTGGATGTAATGTATATTTTGGTACGTCTTTTTTTGTGAATTATTTATTATTTATTTAAGAATTTCAAATACGTTTTTTATTTTAAAAATAGTAATAATTTAAATTTAACCACAGTTATAACATCTAATCACATTATATGGTAAACACATTATATGGTCAACTGTCAATAATCAAAAGTTTAAAATGATTTTTGTAATTTTGAAGTGATTAATGTTGATTATTTAATAATTAAATGAAAGATTAAATACATCAAAAGTGACGATTTTTTGAGGGAAAAGGGTTAAATTGCCACATAGGTAAAATTAAATAGGTTTTACTAAATGCTATTAGCTAATAATTATATATATATATAAATTTCGGGGGATTATGTTATGTGGCGGTGGCCGATTTTTCTCCAGAAGTTGCTTTTTGTCCTTTAATGGGACGATTTTATTACAACATGAATGAATTGTACAGTGAGATGCAAAGGAGTTTGTGATATTGTATATACAATGGAAATATTTAAATTTAATTACTTGTTGTGTTGTATATAATATGAGAAATATTTAAATTTAATTAATTATTGTGGATTTTACAAAATAGCTATTTTAAATTTAAGTGTGTATTTAATTGAGATTTTTAAAAAATTTTGAAGAATTTTTAAGACTTTGAGAATTATGGTATAATTTAATTTAGAGTTCTCAAGACTTACAAAAGTCTTGAGATATTCATTTGGTATTCATCTCGATGTATTTAATTATTTGAGATTAAGATTTGTTAAAACTTTCTAAGATTTGTTAAATAAACATATACTAAAACTCATTACAAATCTCACATCCAAACTTAAAATTTCACAAGATTCCTCTAATTTAAAAATTTCAAATCTCGAATAGCCTTTAAATGTCACTCGAAATTCCAAACGAATACACCTACTTGTCGTGGATTTTACAAAAGCTACTTGCTAAAGAAGTATGAATATCTAGTTGCCACTTAAAATTGGTAAATTTTACTAAATGTAGTTAGGACTATATTGTCGAAAAATTTTACTAAAATCAAAAACAACTTTAGTTACGAAAAAACAAAGTATCATAAATTAGTGAGAATAAATAGATAAAATATTGTGAGTGAATCAATTTTTTGATAATAAAAAAAAATTATTTTCGAAACTCAAAGGTACTAAAGATAATAAGAAAAAAAAGAGAAATGTAACGGCTACACAGTAAATGAGGTTATATTAACATAACAACACATTAATACAAATCAAACATGTTTTTATAATAAATTAATAAAAAAAATAAAATTGAAAAGTAACGATTTTTTGCGGGAAAGTGCCACGTAGGTATAATTTAATAGATTTTATTAAATGTTTATGAGCCAGTAATTATATATATATAGATTTTAATGGTTAATTAGTCTGAGTTCAAAATATTAATATTCCATAAATATATAAATGAATTAATGGTGTCGGGAATTTCTCCATTAAGCCACATTCAAGTTCACATGGAAACAAGAAAAAAAAAATAAAAAACTAAAAGGAAAAAAAAAAAAAACTAAATTAACTATGAACCCAAAACTAAAATTTGGTAGATCATTTGGTAGCACTTTTCACTTAGAAATAGGTCTTGAATTCGTGTTATACTGGAGATAAGTGGGGGATCACTATTGATCAGTTTTCAAAGAAAACTGAGAAAAGAAAAACAAAAAATAAAAAGTTGATAAGGACAATTGTAGCCCATAAAACAATGAGCAATACAAGAGCTTATACATTAATTTGGATAGTCAGCTCTTTGGGAAAGTGCAGAAGAACCAAGAAAAAACGTATATTTTCGAGCTCAAAATTCACAACACACGTAAAATCAAAATTTAAAATTGACAAAGAGATATTGTAAACTCATGAAGAAAAGAACAAAATGAGAACTCACACATCAATTTTGGATATTTAAGGCTTCGGAAAAATTGAATTTTTCAATAGAATAAATGCTAAAAATTTGGGAAATAAGAAGTGCACAACTTTGAGCTCAAATTTCCCTCTCAAAACTTGAAATTGATAAAAGGCTACTATAACTCATTAAGAAATGAAAAACCAATATCATTTTTCTATCAATTTTGGACCATCAAAGAGTTGGGGATTGGTGTTTGAATCTCAGAGCTTCCGCCGCGTATCAGAAGATACTAGGAGCTTCGATTGACCATGACAGTATGATTTGATATTTTGACGAAAATAGTATTTAAACTTTAAAAGGTTATCATACCGATCCGACCGTCAGTATAAGGTAAAATCGTTTACTAGGTAGTAGACTACGATATTTGAGATAGTGCTAACAAATCATTATTCATCATGCTCGTTTTGGTTCTTCATTGGATAATGTCGATTTGAGATAAAATTTACACGTAAGTGGCACTAGTTGACGAGAAACGAAGTGGTAAGAATACAGACTGAAATGACTATCGGGTGAAGATGATCTAGGACACATAGTGATTGGGTTGTCTCGTGACATGGCTGTGCGCGTGATACACGGATAGGTTCAACATGCATTATGTTAGTAAGCACGGTATCCATGGACAAGTTAGTGTTTAAGCATCAGTTTGGTTGCAATGATGGATTGGACCTTATATAATCCTCTTATTTTTTTCAAAGGCAAATCATCTCTTTAATTAGTCCATTTACTTGTTTAGTTTATGGTTGAAAATATCCTTTAGGTTGCAGTTACTTTTCTACCTTTCATTTAGAATTAAATTTTCAAAATTTGCCCAACAGATTGAGAAAATCGGTCAATCCGAAATTAAGATTTATCTATTATTTTGTTCATATTTAATTTTATACAAATCAATAGATCATGGAAACTTTATGCATAAACCATCCCTAATTTTTCTTAATCAATCACAACAGCGCCGACAATCAAAAATTGACCCAATAACTCGAATGAAACTTGACTTCCAACCTCCAACCAAAGAGTTGTTCAACCAAATCGATCGCTATGCCGCTCAAACTTCAGATTGAATACAATAGTTGTTGGCGATTTAGACACATCAACACAATTTCAAGAGCTCACCGCCGATTAACAATTTCAAGTGGGTCTTCAACTTTGCAGACGCTTGACAATCGACGAATGAATAAAATAAGGAGAAGAAAGAAATTAGAAAAGGGGTTGACTTTGGAAGGTAAAAAGATGAAGAATTAGAAGGGAAAAAAAAGTGGGTCTGGATTTTGAGAAGAACAATGAAGAAATAAGGGAAGAAGAAGAAAGAGAACTAGGGTTATTTATGTAAATTTAAATAAAAAATAAAGTTGAATTACACATTCCACCTCACATGTGAAAGTTGTTAATAATTAACCAAGTCATTCCATTTTACCAGGCTTGCACTGCCCGAACCAAACATCCTTATAGACATGAAATATTAACACTGGGCGGGATAAGTCCAGCCAACCAAACGATCCATAAGGTAGTGTTTGGTTGGAGGGAAAAGGAGGGGAGGGAAGGGGAGTGGTTTTTTTTTTTAGGGTTAATTGCTAAATAAACCTTAAACTTTTTGCGTTTGGAAATTTTATCACAATCTTTGGGTAATTGCAATATAATCTCGACCTCAATTTACTTATTGCAAATTTAGGTGCTGAGTGATTGATTTTCGGGATTTGTGGATCGATTTTGTGTTCATGTCTTCAATTGACACGAGTTTTTATGCCATCAACGTAGCAAGTTGACAATTTCTACGTATTTAATGTATATCCACGCACAAAGCCGAAAATTCCACGTCAATGTATGCTACTGGTGATGGGTCTCTTCCTAGATCTGGAGTGAACCAGTAAATATGAGCTCCGATCTGTTTGAACCACCTTCAAATCGACCAGTTTTTTGAAGGTCCGAGATTGGGATTGCAATTAGTAAATTGAGGTCGAGATTATATTGCAATTACCTAAAGCTTGGGATAAAATTGCCAAACGCAAAAAGGTTATGGTTTATTTTGCAATTAACCCTTTTTTTTATATATATATTTTCCTTGTTTGGTTGAGAAATTAAGATTGGGAGGGAGAAAATTTAAAGTTGGAATTCCCTCCCCTCCCAACTAGTGTTGATACCCGTGTGATGCACGGGGTGCAATAGAAAGATATATTTTTTTACTTAAAAACTATAAAATTATTTAAGACAATATGAAATTATATTCTCCACAATATCCTATTAAGTAATAATATGACATTTATTTATTTACCATTTTTTTAAATTTATATTTTTATATATTCTTTTTTGTTGTTTTTGACTAATTAATATATAAATTTTATTATTTATTAGTTTATAAAATATTATAAATGTAAAAGATCATATAATATTTGTATACAAATTACTTGTTTGTACTTATAAATTTACCGTTTATCATTACTCTTATATTTTTTTAAATAATTCGTAATTTGCACATATTGCTTGATAACTGACCAACGTTTAACCCATAATATTTA